ATGGCTGGCTCCTGTAATCCCCGCTACTTGGGAGGCCAAGACATGAGAATCACTTGAACTTGGGGTGTGGAGGGTGCAGTGAGCCGAGATGGGGCCACTGCACCCCAGCCTGGGCAACAGAGTGAGACTGCATCTCAAAAGGAAGAGAGAGAATGAAGGATCTCGAAAGGTACACTAGCTGAATCCGACAAGTCAGGGAACATTTTTTCCCTAGGCTAAACTTATTTCCAGGTGTAGGCAAAGGGGGTGCGGAGGAGAAACACTCTCTTCATCTCTGAAGCCATACCTACGTCAGATCCACCCACTGCCTCTCTTCCTGCTGGTTCGAAGCCTGGAAATCTCACCTGTGGGCAAAGTGAGTTCATAAACCCAAAATGCACTGCTTTTCCTGATGAATGACCCCAAATGAACTTTAAGGAACACTGCATGAGATCTTATGTGAGAATTCATCGAGGAGTTCTTACGACCAGGACTAATTTTTGCAATTACAAATCACTGCAATCATTACAAATGCAAAGTAAGCACTTGGTTATTTTAAAAGCAACAAATATTAACTGCGTGAGAAACAAACCTTCATAATCTCTACAAATCAGTTAAGGTTTATGAATCTGAGAACAGTATTTATAAAATAAAATTACTCAAAATCCCCCCAAAAGCCCTCAGTACTTTTCTTAAACAGAGTTAATGGATCTTGTAATGACTTTGGTACTTTTTCAACTAGCGGACTGACATTAATTTTTTTTTTTTTTTTTTTTTTTTTTTTTTTTTTACAAAATCTATTTCTATTTGTATTCGCACATTGCATTGCTCACTAAAATAATGTGCGCAAGTGCGTGTAGGCAGTCATTTCATAAAAAGCAAGGAGGAAAAGAGACAGGACTATTTGAATCACATTCCAATTTAGGAGAATGCTCTTTATGACAATGTTCTCAGAATGGTTTATAAGGGTGAATAAAATAAGAAACTACAAGAACAGATACATTAAAATGAATGTTATTTCCATTGTATAATTCTGTCAGTTTGCAAAATAAAATTTTTTTTTTTTTAAACAGGGAGACTGGAGGAATGGCAAGGAACCTTGGCTGAGTTCCCTGGGTCTTGGTTTCTTCATTTGTACAAAGCGTAGACAGGACCAGAAAACTCACTGGCATACCACTTTCCAGGGCTTGAAGGGCTGTGGGCATCTCTGAAGTTTCACATCCTAATCAATTACTTCTTTTGTTCATTTACTTTGACCATCTCTGGGCAAGACCCACCAGAACCTGGCAAAAGCTAAATTCACCAGAAACATATAGGATTATAGGTAAGAACATAAAGTAAGGACCATATATTTCAAAAACCATCATAGAATTCTAAGCAAAAAGCCTCTTGATCTGTGACTCAGTTTGTAGCTTAAAGGCATACGCTCCAGGCTGGGCAAGGTGGCTCACGCCTGTAATCCCAGAACTTTGGGAGGCTGAGGAGAGTGGATCACCTGATGTTGGGAGTTCGAGACCAGCCTAATCAATATGGAGAAAGTCTGTCTCTACTGAAAAAAAAGAAAAAAAAAAAAAAGAAAGAAAGAAAATACAAAATCAGCCATGCATTGTGGCGCATGCCTATAATCTCAGCTACTCAGGAGCCTGAGGCAGGAGAATCACTTGAACCTGGGTTGCGGAGGTGGCGGGCGCCATTGCACTCCAGCCTGGGCTACAAGAGTGAGACTGTCTCACAAAAAAACAAAAAACTCTTTGCCTAGCTCCTTCAATGCATAACCCTGAGGTGTGGCCACAGCAAGCCTCAGCTAGCATATCATTTCATAGTTCTTTCCCTAGGGTCCCAAGAGTTGGTTCTAGAATTGTCTGGAGTTGTAAAAGGAATGAGAGAATTTCTTTCTGTCTCCACCCTATTACCACACTGTTTATGACCAAATGGCACCCCTGTCAAAGCTTTTGGGACACCCTTCCCCCAGGGCCAGTCCAAAAGAATGCTCACTTTATTAAGAACAGTGCCCTGTCTTGAGGGAAAACAGGATGTTTAGAAAGTTTTGTATTTAATCATCAACTCTCTCTTTAGCCAACTATGACTCGATACAGAGAAAATTGTACAGCAGGGTCAATAAATAAAACCATAGACTTCTATGATGGATCGTCAAGTGCTGCTGTGGACAAGGCAATATCTGATAGGCCAAAAGGTGGGAAAAGATCTAGAAAGGTTCATAGCTTTCCCTGGAGCTCTCAAAGATAACAGAAGCTTTTGTAGGTCAGAATCTCCAAAGAGCGTTGCAATCAATCTGCTAAATGCATCAAAACAGAGCCAAGCGGGAAAGTCCAGTCCTGACCTCCCTGGCTCAGGCATTCACTGGCATTTTATCACTTTGCCTACAGCCAACAAAATCAATCAGCAAGACTATTACAATGAAACACACAGCATATGGAGAGAAACACGTATGACAACACGGGTTCATCAAAAGACAAGAAAACCATCCAAAACGGAGTTGACTTCAGCTTCAAGCAAGTTCCTCTTTATGCATTTCTTATTCTGATTGTATTGGCATTCAGGACCATTTTCTTGCACTTGATATTTGGTCCCTCTTATAATCTTATGATAGCCAAAACTACTTTAGAACAAATGTGCATGTCCTTGGTACTTAAACTAACTTGGAAACACATTGTCATCAACTGGGTAATGAAAAAAACATCCTGATCCCTGGGTTCCACCCCTGAGACGTAGAATCAGTTACATGGATGTGGCCTGGGTAGCTGGATTTTAAAAAGCTTTGCCGTGGACTTAAGGCCAGAAAAGCTTTAGAACTACTGCTCTGAGCTGAGCCCTGGCTGGCAATTAGGCTCAGAGGTTACTGCTGTTTATGGGAACTCTGCCTTAACCTGCCAAATACAAGTACCATGATGGCGTGGCTAACAGTCATCAGATGTATTCTGTTCTGGTATCGAATTAATATTAAAGGCAGAGGGGCAAGGGATGAGAAGGAACAATGATGCTTTTGTGGGGGTAAGACAAGTCTTCAACACTACAAAACTCCCTAGCAAATTATAGAAACCAGTTTTGCTGGTTTTTTATTATATGACAAAGGGAAGCACTGACCCAGCGGCAAGATCCTGGATGGAAGATGTACTAGGCCAAAGCACTCAGTACTAGTGAGGTCTCTCCCTGACTCCTGAGATAACAGGGAAGTTTCCTACTCTAAAGAATTCCACCTTTAAAGAACAGAATGTCACTTCCTGCTGCTAGTCTACATTTTTACATGTCGAGAAGATAAGGACATAACCCACCTAAGGCAGTGCCGAAGGGTTGTAAACTGCCATTATGAAATTAAATATTACCTCTAAGGTCATAGGACTCAAACTTGAGCATGCTCAGAATCACCTGAGAGGCTTATTAAATTCAGATTGTTGGGCTTGTCCATGCAGGGTCTCTGATTCTGCAGGTCAGGGATGGCAATTTGGATTTCTGACAATTCTCAGCTGATGTTGAAGCTGCTAGTCTGAGGACCACACTTTGAGAACTCCTGTTCTTAGGGCTCATAAAACATGCTCCTTGAATAACAAGAAATGTTTCTATTTAGCTTCAGGCTTTGTGATAAAGAGACAAATACTTTGATTGAAAGGAGACAATGTCTTAAGATAAATCTTAGGAATTGTGCTAGGAGGCAAAAGGTTAACATTCCCCTAGGGAGAAACAAGCAGGTGGGTTGTTAACATTCATTCACTCTTGAGTAGGTATTACCCTTGGAGGACAAAATGGAAGCGCTGTGTTGAGTTAAAAAGAGAACCTAAACATTCTTTCCTAAAAGCAGTGACCCATGGTTTCCTGTTTTACAAGGGAACAGTGGCTATTTTTCATTTACAAAACATTTACTTTATAATGGTGGCACTTCAGTGGGAGGAAAGGTGGGCATTTTGACTAAGTGGTTAGGGAAACTGGGTAGCCACCTACAAAAAAATTAAGTTGGGCCAGGCACGGTTGCTCCTGTCTATAATCTCAGCACTTTGAAAGGATGAGGTTGGATCGCCTGCAGCCCAGGAGTTCGAGACCAGCCTGGGCAACATAACGAGGCCTCATGTCCACAAATAATACAATTTTCCAGGCATGGTGCTGTGCACCTGTGGTCCTAGCTACTCAGGAGGCTGAGGTAAGAGGGCTGCTTGAGTCCGGGAGGTGGAGGCTGCAGGGGGCCGTGACTGCGCCACTGTACTCCAGTCAGGGCAACAGAGCGACAGCCTATCTCCAGAAAAAAACCAAACTTGAACCCATACTTTACAGAATATCAGGATACACCGCAAATGGAGCAAATATTTAAATGCAAAAAGAAGTAATCGCACAGAAATTCTGCAAGAAAATATGGGTCAATTCTTGTAGGTGTATGTGTGGAAGGGTTTGGTGGAAAATGCTTTCTGTGACTTGAAATCCAGAAGCCATAAAGCAAAGAATGGAAAATTAACTTCTGTATAACACAGACGGCCCCACAAGTACTAAAGAAAATGACAAACCAAGAAAAATTTGAAGATTATATCACAGAGCTAATCTCCTGTTATATAAAGAGCCCTCACAAATCAACAAGAAAAAGAGCAAGAATCCAATAGGTGAGTAAATCACGTACATGAACTAAGTAAGTACAGTTTAAAAAAAAAAAAAAGAAAAAGAAATGGCCTCTAAACATCTTGAAAAGATGTCCAGCCTCTTGCTTTTTAAAAAAGGTATGCAAATCTAAACTGTATCGATATAGTATATTTTACAAATGAGATTGGCAAAAATCCAAAAGTTTGAGTAACAAAAAATGTTTCTATTTTATTCTTTTTGTGGCAGTTGTGAACGGGATTATGTTCCTGATTTGGGTCTTGGCTTGACTGTTGGTATATGGGAATGCTAGTGATTTCTGTATGTTGCTTTTGTATTCTGAGACTTCACTGAATTCGTGCATCAGCTTAAGATAGATAACCACTCTATTGGTGCAGCCCTCATTAAGTTGGCAGGAGTGCAGAAATCAATCAGAACATAGGGTGCTCGCTTCAGCAGCACCTATATGAAAACTGGAACTATACAGAGAAGATTAACATGGCCCCTGTGTAAGGATGACAGTCAAATTATGTGAAGCATTCCATTTAAAAAAACACCAGTCCACTGAACGGGCAAGCAACACGACTATAAACTGTAGAATAAATGGATAAAGTCATGGACACACACACTGTCCCAAGAGTGAACCAGAAAGAAACAGAATCCCTGAACAGATCAATAACAAGCTCTGAAATTGAATCAGTAATAAATAGCCTACCAACCAAGAAAAGCCCAGGACCAGACGGATTTACAGCCAAATCCAAATTCTATCAGATTTACCAAGAGCTAGTACCATTCCCACTCTAGTCCAAAAACCTGAGGAGGAGGGGTTCCTCCCTAACTCATTCTGTCATTCATTCGGTATCATCCCGATACCGAAGCCTGGCAGAGACACAATTAAAAAAAAAAAAAGGTCAATATCCTTGATGAACATCCATGCAAAAATCCTCAATAAAATACTGGCAAACCAAATCCAGTAGCACATCAAAAAGCTTACCCATCTATTTTCTCAAGACACAAAATATGCCAAGCAAAAAAAAAAAGTACCCATCACAATCAAATAAGCTTTATCCCTGGGATGCAAGGTTGGTTCAACTTAGGCAAAACAATAAATGTGATTCATCACCTAAACAACTAAAGACAAAAACCATACGATTATCTCAATAGATGCAGAAAAGGCTTTCAATAAAATTCAACGCTACTTCATGTTAAAACCTCTCAATAAACTAGATATTGAAAGAACATACCTCAAAATAAAAAGAGCTATTTATGACAAACCCATAGCCACATAATACTGAATGTTTTTGGAAAAGGCTGGAAGCATTCCTCTTGAAAACTGGCAAAAGACAAGGATGCCCTCTCTCACCACTTCTATTCAACATAGTATTGGGAGCCCTGGCCAGAGCAATCAGTCAAGAGAAAGAAATAAAGAGCATCCAAATAAAAAGAGAGGAAGTCAAACTATACCTGTCTGCAGACAACGTGATTCTATATCTAGAAAACCCCATGGTCTCAAGCCCAAAAGCTCCTTAAGCTGATAACAAATTCAGTGAAGTCTCAGGATACAAAAGCAACGTACAAAAATCACTAGCATTTCCATATACCAACAGTCAAGCCAAGAGCCAAATCAGGAACATAATCCCAATCACAATTGCCACAAAAAGAATAAAATACCTAGGAATAAGCTAGAAAGATCTCTATGAGAAGAATTATAAAACACTGCTCAAAGAAATCAGAGATGATACAAACAAATGGGAAAACATAAGCAATTTACAGACGCAATGCCATTCCTATCAAACTACCAATGACATTCTTCACAGAACTAGAAAAAAATCAGCTCAAGTTGGATTAAAGACTTACGTGTAAATTCCAAAACTTCTGTAAAAACCCAGGAAGACAACCTAGGCGATACCATTCTGGAAACACGAACAGGCAAAGATTTCATGACGAAGACACCAAAAGCAATCGCAACAAAAGCAAAAATCGACAAATGGTATCAAATTAAACAAGAGCTTCTGCACAGCAAAAGAAACTCTCAGAGTATACAGACAACATGTAAAATGGGAGACAATTTTTGAAAACTGTGCATCTGACAAAGGTCTAATATCCAGCATCAATAAAAAACTTAAACAAATTTACAAGAAAAAAACAAACAGCCCCATTAAAACGTGGGCAAAGGACATGAGCAGACACTTTTCAAAAGACATACATGCATAGGGCCAATAAGCACAAGAAGAAAAGCTCAGTGTCACTGATCAAAATGCAAATCAAAAGCACATGAGATACCATCTCACACCAGACAGAATGTCTATTATTAAACAATCAGAAAACGAGACATTGGTGAGGTTGCCAAGAAAAAGGTATATACATTGTTATTGGAAGTATAAATGAGTTCAACCATTATGGAAAGCAGTGTGGTGATTTCTCAAGGACCAAAAAACCACCAGAACTACCATTCAACCCAGCATTCCCATTTCCGGGTATATTTCCAAAGGAATATAAATTGTTCTATCATGAAGACATATGCACACATATGTTCACTGCAGGACCATTCACAATAGCAAAAGACATGGAATTAAACTACATGCCCACCAATGACAGACTGGATAAAGAAAATGTGGTACATATACACCTTGGAATACTATGCAGCCATAAAAAGAATGAGGTTGTATCCTTTGTGGGAGCATAGATGGAGCTGGAAGCCATTATCCTTAACAAACTAACACAGGAACAGAAGACCAAATACTGCATGTTCTCACTTATAAGTGGGAGCTTAATGATGAGAACACATGGGCACATAGAGGGGAACAGATACTGGGGCCTAGAGAAGGTAGAGGGTGGTAGGAGGGAGAGGATCAGGAAGAATAACTGATGGGTGCTAGGCTTAATCCCTGTGTGATGAAGTAATCTATACAACAAACCATCATGACACAGTTTCCCTATGTAACAAACCTGCACATGAACCCCAAAACTTAAAAATTAATAAAAGGGGGGCAAGCCGTACTATCACAAATACATATGCATAGATCTACTGGCCCGAATCCCAATCCTTTTATAGGAAGCTACCCCACAGATACACCTGAGCATGTATGAAGTGATATACAAGGTTATTCATGGCACCTTAATAATAGCAGAAGATTGAAAGAATCAAAAACTCTGTTCGGGAGACTGATGTAAATAATTCCGAGACTTGCATACAGTGGAATACTGCACAGCTCCAAAAAGTACGAGGCAGATTGCATGTACTGAAAAGCTCATATGTATGTGAAAATCTCATTAAAGTATGTGATCTCACGTAAAAAGCTCATAAAAGCTTATGTACATGAAAAGCTCATGAAAGTACACGGTCCCATGTAAAAGCAAGGTGCGGAATAACATCTAGTTGTCACCTTTTCTAAGAGGGGAAATAAAAAGCATTTGAATATTTTTGAGAATTGCATAAACAGTGGAAGAATTTTTGAAAATTTAATGGAAATGGTAAACTATAAAAGGCATGGGCGGGCAGGTTAGGTGGGAACAGGCTGGACAGCAAGATTTTCCAATTTTATCTTCTTATAAAAGTTTCTTTATAATAGTTATTGAAATCAAATTATGGAGTTACATTAAAAAATCAGAAAACTTCAGTGTATATGGACATTTTTTGCTTTATATGTATGTTTTCAGTAGAAACCCAAAGCCAAAAAAGAAAAGTACTTAGTAAATACAAGTCAGGCAACAGGGTTACATCAAAGTTACCAGGAGGCCACACATTGGATGGCGAAGTCCACTTTGCAGGCGAGGGATTTTCAGAACAGCATTTACTAAGGCAGGTCTCTGAAGATGAAAGAAGCCAGGATTTTAGTTTTACTGGATCACTCACTTTCTATAAATAGTCTCTTCCAATTAAGCCAATGAATTTACATTTCTTTGCAGCCCATGCTTTTAAGTAAAGCTCAGATGTCTGCCATAGAATGTTTTCCACTATGTGGCCCTCCCCTCACCCCCACCTTCAGCTTTGTTTCAATAAATAATCAACACAAGCCCCTAATTATAGACTTCAGGAATACAAAATTCCTCGGATCAGACAAGAAATACAACATACTCTTCTCCCATGTCTCAAACCTGTCTTTTAACTAATCCAAAATAAGGAAACACCTCTAGATACTGTGTAAAATGCACCACATGGAGTATACAAACAAGTCATATTAACCAAGGATTCTTAGTACCTCTATGTCTATCTGAAGAGATGCCAGTTTTTACATATTTCCTTGAAAATCATATTTTAAAAACATCTGTTCTGATTGCTGTGTGTGTGTGTGTGTGTGTGTGTGTGTGTGTGTGTGTGTGTGTATAAAAGGCAAACACATTTATATATTAAAGGCAAACACATTTAACTTACTGTGGGTACATGACAAGGCACCAGAGCTACATTCTGATTGTCTGTCATACAACAGAGGAAAGTACGTCAGCCGGTTTTTCTCTGTGTGGACACTGGATGCCGGGAGTTTACAGGTAGATATACACCAGCAAGCAAGGCAACATGCTAGCCTACAAGAGCACTCCTTGGAGAGCTGATGATTATTTCTCTGGAGAGGTTTCTAAGCTCTGCATTGAGAGCACTCATGACAACCAAACCAAAAAGAGCCCACTACAATGTAGCTTTCACCATTCTCTGCTCAGTTTCTGAAATTGCTACCTGTCATCTGCCTGGAGAAAGAAAATGGGATTGGACAAGTGAAAAACCTTTCGTATCAATCCCCAGGAATGAAAGTGGATTTCAAAATCCTGCCCATTGTGTCAACAGGAAGTGGAGCAGAAGGCTTAAGGACAGAATGTGATGAATGACCAATGTTTTAGTTCTTGATATGGCCCTAACCCACCGGGTGACCGTGGGCAAGTCACCTGCCTTCCCTGGGCCTCCACTTGCTCACCTCTAATATGAGGCGGTGGTACCCGAAGTCTCACAGACATCTTTTCCAGCATGCATAACTGGAGCTCATGGTTGCTTAATTCTGATAGCTTACTCTGTCACTTGAAAACCCAATTTACTGCCAAGAATAAATTATGGCAACGACTGTTGGTGATTGTTTACAATGAATGAATGTGTTGTAACACAACTCATGGACAGAATGACTTCACAGCCTATTCCCTTAGATTTCTGACGCCTGATTATGTAGCAGTCTTTGCACAAGATGACATGATATAAAAATAAATTCTCGGCCGGGCACGGTGGCTCACGCCTGTAATCCCAGCACTTTGGGAGGCTGAGGCAGGTGGATCACAAGGTCAAGAGATCGAGACCATCCTGGTCAACATGGTGAAACCCTGTCTCTACTAAAAAATACAAAAATTAGCTGGGCATGGTGGCGTGCGCCTGGAGTCCCAGCTATTTGGGAGTCCGAGGCAGGAGAATCGCTTGAACCCAGGAGGCGGAGGTTGCGGTGAGCCAAGATCGCGCCATTGCACTCCAGCCTGGGTAACAAGAGTGAAACTCTGTCTCAATAAATAAATAAATAAATAAATAAATACGCCGGGCGCGGTGGCTCAAGCCTGTAATCCCAGCACTTTGGGAGGC